AGCATAGATCTCGGCTCCGAGTGGCTGAAGGTCGCCGTGGTCAACCTCAAGCCCGGCCAGCCGCCGATCTCGATCGCCATTAACGAGATGTCCAAGCGCAAGACGCCTTCCCTCATTAGCTTCCACGCCGACTCGAGACTGATCGGCGAGGAGTCTCTCAACCTCCTCGCCCGCTACCCGAACAAAGTTTACTCCCATCTCCCCTCTCTCCTCGGCAAACCCTACAGCTTCGCGCGAGATCTCCTCCAGAAACTGTACTTGAGCTACGAGATGGCCCCCGATGATGTGCGGGGCGTGCCGGTTTTCCAGGCGGAGGGTGGGAATTTTACGGCGGAGGAGCTGGTGGGGATGGTGCTCAAGTATGCGGCTGGGCTGGCGGAGACTCACTCCAGGGCGAGTGTGAAGGACGTGGTGATCACGGTGCCTCCGTTCGCCGGGGTGGCCGAGAGGAGGGGGCTTCTGGCGGCAGCGGATTTGGCTGGCCTGAATGTTCTGGCGTTGGTGAATGAGCATTCGGGAGCTGCTCTGCAGTATGGGATTGATAAGGATTTCTCCAATGGATCAAGGCATGTAGTCTTCTATGACATGGGGGCGAGCAGCACCTATGCTGCATTGGTATATTTTTCAGCTTATAATGCCAAGGAACTTGGGAAGAGTGTGTCCGTGAATCAATTTCAGGTAAATTCTTCTTTTCAGTATGTTGGACAATTTTGATATTTGAATGGTTACATTCCTCTAAAATTGTGATAGAAATACTTTTTCTGTTTTGTTGATGTTGTATAGTGATTGTGAAAATTCCTGTTTCTTGATATAAAAATACTGTCTTGGTCAAGAACCGACTTTAGAATTTAGATAAATACTTTGGTGGCGTTATGTAGAGAAATATGTTGCATTTTTGTTTTTTTTTTTCTGGAATTTTTCTATAAAGAAGCACTTCATATTTGAATTGATATTGTAGAGTTCGTTGAAGATGGTCTTTAAAGTGGACAGTCTGAAATTCCTTTGCTATTTATGTTTTAGGTGAAGGATGTCAAATGGGATGCAGAACTTGGTGGTCAGAGCATGGAATTGAGGTTGGTGGAGTATTTTGCGGATGAGTTCAATAAGCAGCTTGGAAACGGGGATGACATTAGGAACTCTCCCAAGGCAATGGCCAAATTGAAGAAACAAGTCAAGCGCACAAAAGAAATTTTGAGTGCCAATATGATGGCTCCAATATCTGTAGAGTCTCTATATGACGATCGAGACTTCAGGTTTGTCGATCTTCTCAAGAATTATTCGCCGCCACTTCTTAGGAAAGTAGAGCTTCTTATCACGCTTCTTAATCTCTTTCTCCTAATAAGCGCCTGACTTGCTTCACATGTACTATACTCTCCATGACCTCACGTAGTAACTCCTTTACTTGTTTCTTGGTATTTCCACTTCACAATTGTTGTACCTGGGAATCTGAATTCTGATAAATTTTTTTTGCGGCTTGTTATTTCCAAAAAATCATTCTTCTATCACATATTCATCAAGTAAGTAACTGCTCTTTTTTCGTCATTGGAAACTTTTTCCCTCTAGGAGCACAATATCTCGTGAGAAATTTGAAGATCTTTGCAAAGATCTTTGGGAAAAGGCCCTCGTTCCTCTGAAAGAACTTCTTGAGCATTCTGGATTGAAGGCTGATGATTTATATGCAGTGGAGTTGATTGGAGGTGCGACTCGAGTTCCCAAGTTGCAGGTTGTTAACATCTCACTTTTGCAGTCCTTTATTTTGTAGGATTTCAATGTGAAACATTTACAATTTTAACAGACATGGCTTAAGGTTCTCAAGAAGTATTATGTTGTCACTCTTAAGTTTAGACATGGAGATTAAGTGATTCACTTAACAAGTATTGTTTTTATCAAACTCTGCTTATTTGTAGCTAATGGGGCTATCACTACAGCTGACTTTGTCAGGAGAAATCAGAATTAAAAAAATAATTTTCAATCTATTGTAGCTTGATTACCATTACTAACATTGATGATTTAACTCCGGCCTTGAATTTCATATTTAGGCTAAGCTTCAAGAGTTTCTTGGAAGGAAAGAGTTGGACAAGCATCTGGATGCTGATGAGGCAATTGTTCTAGGTGCCTCACTGCATGCTGCCAATTTAAGTGATGGAATCAAATTAAACCGTAAGCTAGGAATGATTGATGGCACTACTTATGGCTTTGTGTTTGAGTTGAATGGTGATGGTCTTCTGAAAGATGAAAGCACCAGACAGCTTATTGTACCAAGAATGAAAAAGTTGCCTAGCAAGGTAAAAAACTTCTCGATAAAGAAAGTGGTAGATCTCATCCAATGGCATTGGCTTGATTTGTTTTACATTGATTGCAGATGTTCAGATCAATTGTTCACAACAAGGACTTTGAAGTTTCACTTTCTTATGAGAGTCAAGATCTTTTACCACTTGGATCCTCTTCTCTGGTATTTGCACAATATGATGTGTCAGGTCTCTCAGACGCTAGTGAAAGGTAAGGATTCAAATTCTGTAAAATCCGGGTTCACTTGATTACATGTCTCTGTTTCATTAATTCCCCAGCTTTTTTCAGGTACTCATCACGAAACCTTTCCTCTCCAATTAAGGCCAATTTACACTTCTCCCTCAGTAGAAGTGGCACTTTATCGTTGGATCGGGCAGAAGCTGTTGTTGAGATAACTGAATGGATAGAAGTCCCAAGAAAGAATATCACAGTAGACAATTCAACATCTGCTTCGGCTAATATTACAGATGGTGACACTAAGAATCCTTCAGAGGAAAACCCTGCCAAATTGGAGACTACCAATGGCAACGGTAACAGTTCTGAGTCTAGTATTAATGATAATACTAGCACTGTGGATCTTGGTACTGAAAAGAAACTGAAGAAAAAGACTTTCCGAGTTCCGTTAAAGGTAATCCAAATCGATCAAGTCATCGCGTACTGTTGTTGCTCTATTTTCTTGAGAACCCTGATTGTATGGTTTCGTAGGTTATTGAGAAAACAACTGGGCCTGGAATGCCTCTCTCGAAAGAATCTTTTGCTGAGGTGAAACAAAAATTGGAAGCTTTGGACAAAAAGGATTCGGAAAGGAGAAGAACAGCTGAATTGAAAAATAACCTGGAAGGATACATATATTCTACTAAAGACAAGGTAAGACACATATTTCTTGTTTGTTCACACAGATTTTTGGTTTCCATGACTGCAGTCTCATTGATCATGCCTTGAACTTGCCCTTACTATATTGTATGAATTAAATGTTGGTGGATATTGTTTACTAATTACAAGTGCTCTGTTGATGTTTCAGTATTCTTCTTGCTTTGACCAGTGTTTTTACTAACTGATGGATATATAACTTAGCTTAGTCCTATAAAGGTTTGATAAACATGATACTACTCTTCCACAAATATTCTTTCAAATTATTCCCTATTCATTGCTACCTTGGTGGTCATGGGTGTTGCTTAGGTGGTTTCACCTGTCTTTTATTTGAGTGTTAGTGTAATTATTATTATATTTGTTTATGATCTGGTAATTGGTATTCAAATTTTCAAGCATCTCTTTCACTTTTTTTTTTTTTTTTTTTTTTGGTGGCATCTAATTAACTATTGTGCTTTTATTGTTGGTATAATAGCTTGAATCAGATGAGTTTGGAGAAATTTCTACTGAGCAAGAGCGGCAGTCTTTTATTGAAAAACTTAATGAGGTCTCTCTCTCTCTCTCTCTCTCTCTCTCTCTCTCTCTCTCTCTCTCTCTA